TGTCAGAGCCCATAGATCCTGGACTTGCCCAAGCTAGAAGGGCCTTTAGAGTGCCAGGGCCAGAAGGGTCCTTAGAATCCAGAATCTGGAATGCTATACCCGGGAGAGGCTTTAGAACCTAGAACCTGGGGTGTCAGTGCCCATAGAACCTAGACTTGCCCATGCTAGAAGGGCCTTTAGAGTGCCAGGGCCAGAAGGGTCCTTAGAACCCAGAATGTGGAATGCTATACCTGGGAGGGACTTTAGAACCTAGAACCTGGAATGTCAGAGCCCATAGAACCTGGACTTGCCCAAGCTAGAAGGTCCTTTAGAGTGCCAGGGCCAAGAGTGTCCTTAGAAACCCAGAATCTGGAATGCTGTGGCTGGGAAAGACCTTAGAACCTAGAATGTCAGAACTTGGAGGGCCCTCAAAGGGAATTTAGACCAGTCTCTCACTTTACAGATGAGGAAATGGAGGCTCAGAAGGGAAATGACTTGCCCAAGGTCACCCAGGTAGTGAGGGGATCAGGATTGGATTCGCTAAAGCTGGGGCCGTGCCCCCCCCCCCCCCCCCCCGTTGTCAGATGGATTTGAGGAGGAGGGGGAGGAGAATCTGGGGCCTGTCAGTCAAGGGCAGAGCGCAGAGCGGGGGATGAGGAAGCAGGAGGCTGGTCTCTGGGGGAGGGATGCTTCTGATGACACAGTTTAGATGGTGGGGGAGGGACATAAGTGGGCCCGGGCCATAGAGCCCCACCTGGCCTAGATCCGAGGGGGCAGGGGACCCGCCTGGGCCCGGGGCTGTGGCAGCTGCAGTCAGGACCTACCCAGGCCCCGAGCCTCAGTCTAATGCTTCTCTGGCTGCATCTTCTCTGTCTCCCTCCCTTGGACTCAGTCTCTTCTTGTCTCTTAGAGGAAAGCTATTGGCTGCTTGCCCCAAAGACGCTTGGCACAGTGAAGTGGGAGGGGAGGGGGCCGTGTTCCCATCGCCCTCTGGCCTGAGCTGTGGCTGAAGCAGTCCAGGGGATGGAGGCTAGAGGATGGGGGAGGGCCGGAGCCTGGGGGGGAAGGGGGAGGGTCCCCTGGATCCCAGCTCCCACGCATCCCTTGTCCAGAGGGATGAGAGAGAGTTACCAGTAGAGCCCAGGCCCAGTTAAAGGGTCATGGTGGCTCCGTGAGGGTCACCCAGGAAACTTTCCCGTGGCTTCAGGAGACTTCTTTTGGATCACGTCTCAGAGGGGTAGGTCCCAGGGCCAAGCCCAGTCTCAGCTCCTGCAGGACCACGTGCATTTAGACCATTGGAACTGGAAAACACTTGAGAAATCATGGAGTCCCCTGCCCCCAGCTTTTTACAGATGTGGGAACTGAGACCTGGAAGGCGCTAAGTGCCTTGACCAAGGGGACACAGCTTTTAAAAAAATTATTTTTTGTGACTGTTTTTTTTTCTCAATTCCATGTTAAAAAAAGCTTTTGACATTTGTTTTTAAAAAGTCTGAGTTTCAAATTCTCTCCTCCTTGAGAAGGCAAGCAGTTTTATGTAGGTTCTCCGTGTGTAGTCACGTAAAATGCATTTCGACATTCTGGGCTGCCTCTCTCTTGATTTTAGGGAGACAGCTCTAGGCAGCTTTCTCCTGGCTGGGGGCTCGAGCTGGGCGCCCCTCTGGTTAGTCAGGCCTCTGGCTTGTCCTGGCCTGGCCGGAGAGGCCTCCAGGCGTGGCTGAGCCCCGTGTCCACTGGCCCCAGCCGGGAGGCCTGACTGGGCCACGGCAGGAAGGAGGAAGCAAGGTGGCACACTCTTAGGCAGACACCTGGCACATGCTTCTACAGCTCCTGGGTACTTGAGGGCCAGGTCCAGGCTGGATGACTTCTCTCTCTGGGCCTCCTTGGGTACTCAGGGAGGGTCTGTCTGGCTCTCCTTCCCTGGAAGGCTTGTTGTGAGGGCCGTGGGGTTGGGATCGAAAGTGGAGCTGCCTTTATGGTGTGGCATGGGGCCAAGATGAGCCAGGGTGGTCCCCTGGGACTGGCTGCAGGCCTGAGCTGAAGGTCAGCCCCCCCCCCCCCCCCAGGGCCAAGGGAGAGGGTTCAGGATCCTGGGCGATGCTAGGCTGGAGGACAAAGGTCAGGCAGAAGACCCTGGAGGTTGGACCCTGCTTGATAAGAGGTAACCTGAGATGAGGGAGCTCACAGTTTACCTGGAGCTCAGCTGGGCTCCCCCACTCCTGCCCAAGCCTCCACCTTCCTCCTACAGTCTCTTAGCATTGAGGAAGAAAGCCCGAGGCCTCCGCTGAGTGACAGGGAGACCTGGATTTGAATCTTGTCTCAAGCCTTGTGTGACTCTGGTCATGATACTTCACTTTGCTCAGCCTCCCTCAGTTTCTTCATTCATAAAATGGGTATGATCGTATATCCACGAAACCCCTACCTCCCCAGGTTGTCGTGAGGACCAAATGAAATCCTACTTGTAAAGTGCTTTGCAGACCCGCAGGTGGCTGGCTGAGGGCTTATGTGGTCCTGCCCTGTGACCGAAGGAGCTGAGCCGCTTCTCCGGGTGCCCAGGTGCCCGAGAGGCCGAGCCCTGGCTGAGGGTCATGTAGCCGGGAAGTGCGGGAGGGAGGATTTGAACCCGGGCCTTCCTGACTCTGAGGTTGCCCTCCGTCCCCTCTGCCAGGCTGACTCTCAGGTTTTTTGCGATGGTTATCATTCCTGCTACTGCCGGCCGAATAATCTTGGGCCAATGGAAAGAGCTATATGTCTCTAGGGGCAGAGGACGCAGGTTCAAAACCTACCCCTGGCACTGACTGTGTGACCTGGGGTGAGTCACTTGGACGTAGCTCTCTGGACCTCAGTTTCTTCCTCTGTAAAATGAGACAGTTGGACCGTGGTCCCCTGACGTCCTTGCTGCCGTTCAGTCGTTTTTCAGCTGTATTTGATTCTTGGTGACCCTGTGTGGGGTTTTCTTGGCCATTTCCTTCTCCAGCTCATTCAACAGATGAGGAAACTGAGGCAAAGAGGGTGAAGCGACTTGCCCAGGGTCACACAGCTAGCGTCTGAGGGCAGATTTGAACTCAGGTCTTTCTGACTCCGGGCCTTGAGTTCCTAACCAGGTCTAAAACAGTGCCTCAGTTTCCTATCCTGTCAAATTGGAAGAATTGTGCTCCTGCTTCTTACCATGGAGGGGCTTGGCAGATTCTGAGGTTTTAGAAATAGATGTGGTTATTGCCAGGGGCCTTCCCAGGCCTGGGGTGCCATTCACCCCCTCCTCTCCCTGTGGGATCATGGAACTCACAGGAAGAAAACTGCCAGGGACCTCTTGATGGTAGGGACCCCCTGGGCTTCAGCCTGCTGCGCACTTTGCCTCCTTCCCCGAACCTGGCCGGTGGGTAGTCTAGGGGGTGATATTTCTCTCTTAAAGATAAGGAAGCCAAGGCTGAGGAGTTCCCATTGAATCAGGCTGGTAGGAACCTAGCTGACCCGCAAAGGACCTCTGGGGCCATATCATCTACTCCCTTATTTACAAAGGAAATGACTTGCCCAAGGTCACACAGACCTTCAGGAAGCCTCGGGGGCGTTGAGCCTGGGTCCTCAGAGGCTGACACGCTGGAAGGGGCCGTACAAGGCATGCTCTCAGACCTCTTCCTTTCACAGAAATGACAGAGCCAGGATCCGATTAAGTCACTTAATCGTAATGAATGGTTTCTTGGATAGCTCACTCTGGTGTATGGTTTCGTTTAAAATTTTTGAGGCAATGTTTATTAATGATATTGGCTTGTAGTTTACTTTCTGCATTTTAACTTTCCCCAGTTCAGTTATCTCCGGGAGATAGATCCAAGGCTTCGTGAGGCTCCACTGCCCCTCCATCCCTGGGGATGCTGTCTCCTCGGGCTCAGCCTCTCCTCCCTCTAACTGCCATGGTCACCTTTGAGCACCTGGGTCCCTGGGCTGAAGTCCTCTGAGAAGGAAGATAAGCCAGGTGCAGCGGGAGGGCCGGCTGATAAAGGAGTTCAGGGTTCGCCCACGTCGGGGAGAGAGAAAGACGACAGAAGCCAGGCCCTTTCCTGACCCTGGAGCTCTGACACCTCCTGACCTCAGGGGTGACCTGGTGCCAGCTTACGGCCGTGCCCCAGGCAGGATTGTTACAGCACCACGGGCTTGAGGCTGCAGGGTACCTGAGAGACGATCACGACCCCAGACCGACCCTCCCCCCATCTCATCTTTTTATTATCACTGCTGCCTGTGAGACCTTGGACAAGTCACTCCCCTGATTTTACAGCAGAGGAAACCGAGGCCTGCTTCCCCAACCTTGCTCTCTTTGCCCAACCCCAAGCCTCCTTCTAAGGATGGAACCTTAGAATCCCCTAAACCCGGGCCCCCGTGAGTGCAGGATGGCCGGGGCTGATGGCTAAGGTGGGAAGGATCCCTCAGTTCAGCGCCCTCGCCCTGACCCAGTCTTTTCTTGTTGCAGCTCGAAGCTTCGACCTGCAGAAGTCCGAGGCCATGCTGAGGAAGGTGAGGCTTCTTCAGCTCCTCGGCCAGCCCCCCACCTTCACCCTTGCTCCTCTCCTCTTGAGTCTCTTCACTCCATCCCAAACGGGGGGTTCTGCTGAAATCGCTCTGTTAAAGATGGTGTCCTTGACCGGATGAAACAAGAGCCAATGTGTGCTCATTGAGCTGAGTGGGAATCAAGCCTCCCAGGGGCTGTGATTGTGCTGGAGGGGGTCCTCACGCCCTCCACCAGCCCAGGCCCGGATGGCTCTGTTCCTTAGCAGATGCTCTTCCGGGGCTGCCATGGCCCCCCAAATTCATCCGCCTGTGGGCCTCCTGGCAATGAGGCTCCCTTGGCTAGGCTGGGCCTCAGACCACTCATGGAGCCCATCCCCTGGCCTCTCCTTGACTCCTTCCTAGCTTGGTGGTCATAATAAAAATAGAAACATCTCCTAGCACTTAGGCGACTCTGTGAGATAAGGAATGTTAGGTTATTATCCCCATTTTACAAATAGGAAACTGAGGCTTAAGTGGCTAAGTGACTTCCCCATGGCTATTAAGTGTTGGCGAGTGGGTGGGATTTGAACTTGGGACTTCTTAATTAAGGGCTCTTGTCCAAAGTGACATGCTCCCTCTTGGGACTGGAAATTGCCCAAGCTTGTGCCCCCTTGAGAGTCAAGGGTCATCTCCAACCCACAATGAGGCAGTGGTGGAAGACGTTGGTGGAGGACGTACATTAAAGGGAACCATTGTGGAATTATGATTATTATGGTGGTTGTGTATTATTTGTGTGAGTATACCCTCCACTATTGCAGATGGCAGCCCACTCAGACATTCTCCTCCCTGGTGACTCTTGTCCACTTTCTTAGGAAGTCCTCATGAGCAGTTTGGGGGCCTAACTCCAACTCTCTTGACCTTGCTGAATACTGAGGAAGGAGGAGCTAGTTAGAGACATTGTAAGGATATCAGTGGAGCAGGAGGGCTGGCCGTGGGTTAACCCTCCATCTCATTGCCTGGCTCTTCATTCAGACTTTTTCTATTGTCATTGATAACAAGACCCCAAGACACTGAGCATTTTCAGGGTCACTAGAAATTCTGCTGTTGTGGGAGAAGGAAGGAGTCTGTGAGGAGGCCTGTATCTGGCCTGGTAAGATTAACAATAAACGCCCCATTTTTGAGCGTTTTCTGTTGTACAAAGTTCTGTCCTGTGAGAAAAGCGTCCTGGTGAGGGGAACCTGAGTTAGTCACACAGCCAGGATAAGGTGGAATGAGGATCTGAATCTGGCCCTTGTGACTCCTGGTTGAGTTGACTGGAAGCTTGTCCTTGTGGGAATGGACACTTTCAGAACATGCTGCCTGTATGTGTGTGTGTTTTCACAGCACGTGGAGTTCCGGAAACAGAATGATCTTGAAAATATTTTGAGTTGGCAGCCCCCAGAGGTGAGGACAGAGCACCGACTACCGCCAGCCCCGCATGCCCACCCGGTTCCAGTTCTGCCAGCCCCCAAAGGGGCTGAGGTACTAGACTCCTCTGTGAAACAGCAAAGTCTCTGGGCACTGGGTGGACTCATATTCCCCGAGGGCTCCTCCGTCCTGGGCCCTCCCCGCCTTCCTCTGGCAGGGCATTGAGAGGATGGGCCGGGGGCCTGCTGCCCGTGTCTCCACCCAGGTGGTCCAGCAGTACCTGTCTGGGGGGATGTGCGGCTTTGACCTCAATGGCTGTCCCGTCTGGTACGACGTCATCGGGCCGCTGGACGTCAAGGGGCTGCTGCTGTCTGCCTCCAAGCAGGATCTGCTCAGGACCAAGATGAGAGACTGTGAGATGATCCGGCTGGTGTGTGCCCAGCAATCAGAAAAGGTGGGTGGAGGTGGACGGGACCCAGGGGATCACTCTCCCTACATCCCCCGAGACGTGGTCTGCTCAGAGGAGAAGCCTGGCGTCGGCCCCTCGGGAGCCATTTATCGATGAGAGGCCACAGGAGGTGGTGGGGTGGTGGGAAAGGCCAGGCAGTCACAAGCATTTATTAAGCGCTTCCTGTGTACCAGGATAAAAAGAAAGGCAAAAACACAGCCCCTGCCCTCAAAGAGCTTACAGTCTAACAGCTGAGAAAGGTTGTATGTCGCTAAGTACAAACAAGACAGGGAAATAGAGAGAAGGCAATTCTGAAGGTGAAGACGCAGCTGGGGGGGGCCTGGAAAGGCCTGCAGAAGGTGAGCTTAGAGCTGGAGGAAGCCTGGGAAACCCAGGCAGTGAGGTGAAGGGCTAGAGCCTTCTGGCATGGGGCACCACCAGTACAAAGGCTTGGAGTGGGGAGATGGAAAGTCATGATGGAGAAATGGCGAAAGGCCAATTCATTGGATCTGGAGTTCATGGAGGGAGGGAACATGTGAGAAGACGAAGGGGTCACCTTGGGAAGGGCTTTAAAGGTCAGGCAGAGGATTTTCTATGTAATCTCTGGGTTGGGAGGTCTGGATTCTGCTCCTGATGTAACTGGTCACAAAGCCTTGGCAAATTGCCTCGTCCTTTTCTGGGAAATGAGGGAATTGACTAAATGATTTCTGAGGTCCCTCCCAGGCCTGACATCCCCTGTTCTAAGGCCCCTCCCAGGCCTG